ATAATGGCATAAAACTGGAAATTAACTACAATAAAAATAATCCAAAGAAATCAAACACATGGAAACTAAACAGCATGCTATTAAACAAGGACTGGGTTACCAGAGAAATCAAGGAAGAAATTAAAAACATCCTGGAAACAAATAACAATGAAAACACAACAATCCAAAATCTATGGGACACAGCAAAAGCAGTTTTGAGAGGGAAGTTCATATCCTTACAAGCCTGTTGCAAAAAAACTAGAAAAAATGGTAACAGATGATCTAACTCTACAACTCAAAGAGTTAGAAAAAGAGCAACAAGAAAAGCCCAGTGTAAGCAGAAGGAAGGAAATAACAAAAATCAGAGCACAGATAAACGACATAGAGACCAAAGAAACAATACATAAGATCAACAAAACCAAGAGCTGGTTCTTTGAAAGGATAAACAAGATAGATGGACCTCCAGCCAGGCTAATGAAGAAACAAAGAGAGAGGACCCAAATAAACAAAATCAGAAACAAAAGAGGTGAAATAACAACAGATCCCACCGAAATACAACAGATTGTTCCTAAATACTACAAACTATTTATTCCAACATAACCTGGAGGAAATGGACATATTCCTAGAAAAATACAAACTTCCAAAACTCAATCAGGAAGAATCTAAAAATCTCAATAGACCAGTGACTTGGTAAGAAATTGAAACAGTCATCAAAAAGCGTCCAGCAAACAAAAGCCCAGTGCCAGATGGCTTCAAAGGAGAGTTTTAGCAAACATTCAAGGAAGAACTAAAACCTATCCTCCTCAGACTATTCCAAAAAATTCAAGAGGAAGGAACACTTCCAAGCTCCTTCTATGAAGCCAGCATCACCCTAATACCAAAAGCAGATAAAGATAACTCAATGAAAGAGAATTACAGGCCAATATCTCTCATGAACATAGATGCCAAAATCCTCAACAAAATTCTAGCAAATCGACTCAAGAAGAACATCACAAAGATCATACACCATGACCAACTAGGATTTATTCCAGGAATGCAAGGATGGTACAATATCCGCAAATCTATAAACGGGACACATCACATTAACAAATTGAAAGATAAAAATCATATAGTCATATCAATTGATGCAGAAAAAGCATTTGATAAAATCCAACACCCTTTCCTGATAAAAACTCTTAACAAGGTGGGAGTACAAGGATCATACCTCAACATAATAAAAGCTATATATGATAAACCCACAGCCAACATTATACTCAATGGGCAAAAACTAAAACCTTTCCCTCTAAGAACAGGAACAAGACAGGGATGCCCACTCTCGCCACTCCTGTTTGACATAGTACTGGAAGTACTAGCCATTTCAATTAGACAAGAGGAGGAAATAAAAGGCATCCAAATTGAAAAAGAAGAAGTAAAGTTATCCTTATTTTCAGATGACATGATATTGTACATAAAAAACCCAAAAGACTCCATTAAAAAACTAATTGACTTAATAAATGAATTTGGCAATGTAGCAGGATACAAAATTAATGCCAAGAAATTCATGGCATTTCTATACACCAACAGTGAAACTACAGAAACAGACTAAAAGCAATTCCATTTACCATCGCACCAAAAAAACTAAGCTACCTTGGAATAAACTTAACTAAGGAGGTAAAAGACCTATACACGGAAAACTACACGACACTTGAAAAAAAGAGATAGAGGAAGATGTAAACAGATGGAAGAACATACCATGTTCATGGATTGGTAGAATCAACATCATCAAAATGTCCATACTTCCCAAAGCAATCTATAAGTTCAATGCACTCCCAATTAAAATACCAACGGCATATTTCACTGACCTAGAAAAAAATCTTCAAAAGTTCATTTGGAACAACAAAAGACCCCAATAGCTACAGCAATCCTGAGAAAGAAGAGTACAGTAGGAGGGATCTCAATTCCAGATTTCAAGCTTTATTACAAAGCCACTGTTCTCAAAACAGCCTGTTACTGGCAGAAGAACAGACATATAGATCAATGGAATAGAATTGAGAACCCAGATATCAACCCAAATCACTATGCTCAGTTAATATTTGACAAAGGAGGCACAAATATACAATGGAGTCAAGACAGTCTCTTCAATAAATGGTGTTGGGAAAATTGGACTGATACATGCAAAAGAATGAAACTGGATCACCAACTTACACCATAAACAAAAATAAACTCAAAATGGATACAAGACTTAAACATAAGACCGGAAACAATAAAAATACTAGAGGCATCCACAAGCAGCAAAATCTCAGACATATGCCAAAAGAACTTCTTCAGTGATACTGCCCCTAGGGCAATGGAAGCTAAAGAGAAAATAAACAAATGGGACTACATCAAAATAAAAAGCTTTTTTACAGCAAAGGAAACCATCAACAAAACAACAAGAAATCCCTCTGTATGGGAGAACATATTTGCAAATGATATCACTGATAAAGGTTTAATCTCCAACATCTACAGACAGCTTATTCAACTTAATAAGAGGAAATTAAATGACCCAATTAAAAAATGGGCAATGGATCTAAATAGAATCTTCTCAAAAGAAGACAGAAGGAAGGCCAAGAGGCACATGAAAACATGCTAAAAGTCGCTAATTATCGGAGAAATGCAAATCAAAACAACAATGCGGTACCATCTCACACCTGTCAGAATGGTCAACATCAACAAATCAACAAACGACAAGTGTTGGCAAGGTTGTAGAGAAAATGGAACCCTCGTGCACTGCTGGTGGGAATGCAGACTGGTGCAACCACTGTGGAGAACAGTATGTAGCTTCCTCAAAAAACTGAAAATGGAACTCCCATTTGACCCAGTAATCCTACTCCTAGGGATATATCCCAAGAAGCTAGAAACATCAATCAGAAAGGATATATGCACCCCTCTGTTCATAGCAGCACAATTTATAATAGTTAGGATTTGGAAACAGCCTAGATACCCATCAGCAGATGAATGGATCCAAAAACCATGGTACATTTACACAATGGAATATTATGCTGCCATAAAAAGAAAAAATTTTCATCGTTTACAGCAACCTGGATGGAATTGGAGAACATCATGCTGAGTGAAACAAGCCAGTCAATGAAAGAGAGACACCACATGACCTCACTTATATATGGATGATAAAGAACATTATAAACTGAAGATCCAAAAGATAGATATAGAGACAGTAAAGCAACAAGCAGACTGTCAAGTTACAGCAGGGAGGTTGGGGAGATCTGGAGGAGATAAGAGATCAACTGAAGGACTTGTATGCATGCATCTAAGTACAACTAATGGACACAACACTTTGGGGAGGGTGGGTATGTATGGGAGGGGGGGCATTGGTATATGTACAAAAATAATAATTTAATAAAAAGTATATATTTAAAAAAAAAAAACTGCCATTCCCTAAAGTATAATCTCAATCCATTGAGATTTTGCTTCCCAGTAATTGTTTAGTTCAAATAAACTTTTAAAAAAATTATCTACAGGTTTAAATGTTTATGTGACTTCAGTTACATTTCTTGTACCACTTAAGTTTATGGACCAAAAATTTTACCCTCTATAATATTCTTCCCGCTAAAAATTATATTTCATTCTAGGTTTAATGTGTAGTATTGTCATTATTGTTATTTTCTAAATTATTTTTATTACAATTTCAATTCTTCCTTGGCACAATAGTTTCATCTTCCTATCCCAGGTTTTATTTGCTGTTTAAAAGTGCCTGTTATGCCGAAACCGGTTTGGCTCAGTGGTAGAGCATCAGTCTGCGGACTGAGGGGTCCCGGGTTCGATTCTGGTCAAGGGCAGAATTGGTTTCGGGCACATCCCTGGTGGGGGGGGTGTGGGACGCAGCTGGTCAATGTTTCTCTCTCGTCGACGTTTCTAGCTCTCTCTCTCCCTTCCTCTCTGTAAAATATCAATAAAATATATTTTTTTAAATAGTGCCTGTTATATTTTATAGAAATTCAGTTGTTTTTCAGATATTATTTTTTTAAATATATTTTATTGATTTTCACAGAGAGGAAGAGAGAATTAGAGAGTTAGAAACATCGATGAGAGAGAATCATCGATCAGCTGCCTCTTGCACACCCCCTACTGGGGATGTGCCCGCAACCAAGGTACATGCCCTTGCCCGGAATCAAACCCGGGACCTTTCAGTCCGCAGGCTGACGCTCTATCCACTGAGCCAAACCGGTCTCGGCTCAGATATTATTTTTTAAAATAGATTTCAGCATATGAAACTGAACATTTTCATATCTGTTAAAACACATTTTTTCCAGAAACTCCTAAATATAAATATAATATTGTATCTATAAATATGAGTATTTTGAAATTACTTAATTTTTATGGTCTTAGATTTTTAAAGTATAGAAATTCAAATTTTGCAGTCAAAATATTTATGTCCACAATTTTCTGCTTAGGTTTTTTTTTTTTAATTGGGTTTTTTTTTTTTTTTTCATTGCTCTCTCTCTCTCTCTCTGTAAACTCTTTATACACATTTTGCATATTTTTCTGGTTTCATTAAACTAGGTAAGATCAGATAAAGGTGTCTTTTAATGTTACTCAAAAAGTAATGAAGTCAGATAATTAAAAGCAATAAATACATAATAAATTAGAGTTACTTTGTCAAGATCACAGACATTTCTAGAATCAGCTTTATTTGTACAATGAATCTCTGAGGAAATGTCGCCTCCTCAGGGTGCCTTTGTATCTAAAACAGAATCATATGTGGCCCCCCCCGCCAACACACATAATTTCTATCCTTTTACCTGGTGTTCTTTTTCTCTGTAGCTATTTATCTTCATCTGAGACACTACATATTTTGCTTCATAGATTCTAGGTCTGTGTTCTCAAACTTAGTCTGATTTATGTACTGATGTATCCCAAACTCCTCCAATAGTAGCTGGCACACAGTAGGCCTTAATTAAAGCTTAAATAATACATCGAAAGGACCTAGAAATTACCTTAGGCTCAGAATAACTGTTCAATAGGCGGATTCACTAGTGGTGCAGAAACGTTCATTATAAGATATCTACAAGCCATTTCTTCCTTTGAGATGATGATTAAAGTTAACTGGCCTAGAAGTAGTCTCCATTTATCAACTTTTGGTTAATGAAGAGTTTTCAGAGAAAATACTACAATTATCAGCAAAATGGAGGGGGGCGGGCACAGAGGAGAATTTTAAGCGGTATCTTCAACGGGGCAATCCCGGGCTAAATGCCCGGACTTTCCACAGCTGTAGCAGTTGACTTCCATTTTCTTGGTACAGTTGATGGCTATATGGCCAGTCTTGCCACAACGATAGCACTTGATTTGGGTGCAGTCTTTCTGAATGTGACCATATTCACCACAAGAGTAGCACTTCTGTTCTTCCTGACGGTCACAATCACGAGCCAGATGGCCTGATCTGCCACAAATGTAACAGCACTGCTCTCTTGAGCGCTTAGGCTTGTCAACACAGTCTTTGGCGATGTGGCCACTTCTCCCACAGTTGTAACAGATGTCCTCATTTAGCTCACAGTTCTTAGCGTAATGACCAGATTCACCGCAGCGGTAACAGATGTCAGATGGAGTGGCGGAACTGTACTGACAACCTCTGCCACGGCCTCCAGTTCTTTGCCTTGGAGTTTGTCCTTCTCTAGGGCATCCCCGGACCCATTGGCCAGAGCGTACATACTTGAAATATTCCTTGCCGCTCATGGCTATAGGAGGATTTTCCAGTGATCCGGTGTACCACTGCCCTAGAGGTTCCCACACAGCGCCCCTTAGTGTGGCTTAGAAAGCGGAGGCTGATTTTCTCTAGGAGCTTCCATGACGTCACACAAGGCTTGCGCACAGCCCCATTCTTGTGTCACGGGAGTTCCAACTGCCATACCCTCCTGATTTTCTTCGTCTTTGAAGCCAAAAACATAGTACTGTTTTCCATTTTTTATTTTTTTAAATAAAAGCTTGGGTCATTAAGTTTAAGTTTGATTCTTTCCCTGTTTAGAAAATGTGCTCAGTATTAAGACTTCTTATAATTAAGACTTAAGCCTTCTTTGTTTTTATGTATGTGCTAAGGACTTAGGAAACTATGTGTGAGATGTATCTAATCAGTAAATGAAAGAGAGAAATTGTAACCAATTAGAGTAACCCAACATTTTTGTTTTAAAAAATAAAATACAGCCCTGGCTGGTTTGGCTCAGTGGAAAGAGTGTTGGCCTGTGGACTGAGGGGTTTCAGGTTCAATTCCTATCAAGGGCATGTGCCTTGATTGCAGACACATCCCTAGTGGGGAGTGTGCAGGAGGCAGCTGACCGGTATTTCTAGCTCTCTATCCCTGTCCCTTTCTCTCTGTAGAAAAACCAATAAAATGTATTTTAAAATAAAATACAAGTATCCATAAAGATGAGATACATTAGATAGGGGGGAAAAAATCTGTAAAATGCTGCAGTGAGAACATTTACTCATAATTTATACAGTTTTATTGCAGTAATCTTAATTTTCAACCTAATCACCACCATTTAAGTTATCAAACATAACATGATTGGAGCATTCAGTATAAAGAATGCATTATTACTGGGAAAATAAAATATAAAACTATAATTTACATATTGGACAGATTTCCTTTCTGTTTTCCAAATTGTTTATATCTTATACAAATGTCATAAAGATTTGTGAATGTGTTTTCCATTTTTATAGATAAATAAATATGGAGAACTAGACACTAAAAAATCAAGAAAAGCTATTTGAGGGTTATATTATTGAATATGACTTTTTTTTCTCCTTATTTTTCTTCTTTGTACTTTACAATTTTTAAATTATTTTGAGTTGTGTAATTTTTTAAATTCACAATAAATATTTTTTCTTTAAGTTACTACTTAGCTATATGATTTGTATATGAATTTTTTTAGATAGCCAGTACAAATATATTTGGTAAAACACAGGCAAAAGAATAATGAATGTAGTAGTTGATCTTTATTTTCAATATGACTTGATTGCGATATGCAACTGATTCCATAAATGCAATGATAAAGAAAAACATTTTCAAAAATCAAAGTTTATAGCCAAAGAGCATGAGTAGTCCCAACATAGAGTAATGAAATAAGTCTTATTACTAAACTATTAAATGCTGTTGCATGAATTATTTCAAGAGGTAAAAATTCTGTGGCTAAAAATTTGATATATGCTTATAATTAACCTTATTAATTATAATGTTTAAATCTTCCTTTAAGTTTATATTTTTATTAAAGTAATACATGTCATTAGTATATAAAGCATTGCTCTTTCAAGCAGTTTTAATTGAGACATGAAGTAAGAAATCCATTCTCTCTTCCCCTTTGATATACTAGTATATTATGGAAGCTGCAGAACAATTTGGGGAATATTACCCCAACAATATTAAGTCATCCAGTACATGAGCACAGGATATTGTTCTATTTATTTTCATTTAATCTATAATTGTAAAAGCATAATATGCTAATTAGACTAGACAGCCAAATGACCTTCCAGACATCCTTCTGACGAGGGCCACAAGGGCCAAGCCCCTTGCACGAATTTCTTTTTTTTTTTTTTTTTTTTTTTTTTTTTTTTTTTTTTTTTTTTTTTTTTTTTTCCTTTTTTTTTTTTTTTTTTTTTTATTTTTTTTAATAAGTTTTTATTGTTCATATTATTACAAATGTTCCCCCCCACCATTGCTCTCCTCCCCCAGGTTCCCACCCCGCCCTCTGCCCTTTCCCCTCTCCCAATTGTCCTCATCCATAGGTGCACAGTTTATGTTCAGTCTCTTCCCACGCCCCCCTTCCCTTTTCCCCAAGAATCGTCAGTTCACTCCCCTTCCATACCTCTGATTCTATTATGTTCAACAGTTAATATTGTTCATCAGATTTTTTTAATTTCCTTGGTTTTTAGATTCACTTGTTGATAGTTACGTATTTGTTGTTCATAATTTTTATCTTTGTTTACTTTCTCTTCTGAAAGAACCCCCTTCAGCAATTCATATAATTCTGATTTAGTGGTGATGAACTCCTTTAGCTTTTTTTTATTAGTGAAGCTCTTTATCTGGCCTTCGATTCTGAGTGATAGCTTTGCTGGGTAGATTATTTTTGGCTGTAGGTTCTTGCTATTCATCACCTTGAATATTTCTTGCCATTCCCTTCTGGCTTGCATGGTTTCTGTTGAGAAGTCAGCTGACAATCGTATAGGTGCTCCTTTATAGGTTACTACCTTCTTTGCTCTTGCTTCTTTTAATATTCTCTCTTTGTCTTTTGCTCTTGGAATTTTAATAATGATGTGTCTCGGTGTGGTCCTCTTTGGATTCCTTTTGTTTGGAGTTCTGTGTGCTTCCTGGGCTTGTAAGTCTAACTCTTTCACCAGATGGGGGAAGTTTTCTGTCACTATTTCTTTCAGTATGTTTTTGATATCTTGCTCTCTCTCATCTTCTGGGACCCCCATAATTCTGATGTTGGTTCGCTTGAAGTTGTCCCAGAGGTTTCTTACATTATCTTCAATTTTCTGGATTCTCTTGCCTTCTAGCTTCTGTGGAGGAGTGTCTTCTGGCTCTTTATGTTCCAAATCTTTGACTTGATTCTTGCGATCTTCCCTTCTGTTTTTAGGACTCTGTAAGATATTTTTTATTTCAGACAATGTATTCTTTATTTCTTGTTGATCTCTTATCATTTCTTGTTGACTCCTTATTAATTCTAGTTGATCTCTTTTCATATCCTCATAGGCCTTATCCATCTTTTCTTGGAAATTCTTGAAAAACCTTATAAGCGTAGATTTGAACTCTATATCCAGACGCTTTTTGTCCTCCATTTCTTTCGTTTGTGATCTATTTTGTTGTCGCATTTCGCAGTTACAGATCCCCTTGCACGAATTTCATGCATCAGGCCTCTACTATGTTATAAAACACTATGAAGTGTTTAGTGTATAAGTTTCACACATCTTTTGTTAGTTTTTGTTGTTAATGTTCACTCGAGAATATTTTCCACTGATTATTTTTTTCCACAGTGGAAGGGAGAGGGAAAGACAGAGAGAGAGAAATTGATGTGAAAAAAACATCAATTGGTTGCCTCCAGCCAGTGCTCCAACTAGGGGCAGGAATTGATCCTTCAACTGAGGTATGAGCCCTTGACCAGAATCACTGATTCTGGAACACTTCAGTCTGCCTGGCTGATGCTCTATTCACTGAGCCAACTGATTGGACTCTTTTGTTATAAATTTTTTTTTAAGGATTTCAATCTTTTTTATGCTGTTTTAAATAAAAATTATTTTCCGGATTTCATTTTTGGGTTATTTTTAGCATATAGAAAGATAATTAATGTTATATGTTGATCTTTAATCCTACAGCCTTGCTAACCTGAACTGATTTAATAGTCCCAATAGTTTTTTTAGAGGATTCCTTAGGATTAGAAATTTCTGTATTTAAGACTATATCATCTGAAAGTAGGGATAGTTTAAATTCATCCTTGACATTCTGGGTTTATTTTATTTCATTCCCTTGCCCTCACTAGAAGTTCTATAAAATGTTGAATAGAAGTGATAAGAGTAGGCATGCTTGTCTTGTTACTGGTCTTAGGAGAAAAGCTTTCAGGCTTTAAGATCATTAATATAATGCTAGCCATGGTTTTTTAAATATACATACTCTACCAGGTGAGAAAGTTATTTTCTATCCCAAATTTGTAGAGTGTTCTTATCATGAAGGGGTGTTGAATTTTGTCAAATATGGTTTTTTAATCTCTTGAGTTTGTCTTAAATATTTCACAATCTTATTCAAGGTTTGTTTATGTAGCCAAACTTTATACGATTTTTAAATTACTTTGATTGCATAACCAAGATAACAGTATAGGTAAACACCTGTACTTATAACCTCCCACAATCATGTAAAAATTAAAACTAAAATAAAGAACAAAAGGATAGAAAATGGCAGCAAAATAGGCAGCAGTGCCGTGCACCTCCACTTAGGGCCAGGCCAGAAAAGCAACTGAATCAGAGAACATCCACCCTGAATTAATAAGTTAAACATAGCTGAAGAGACAGTTTTTGTCAAGGAAGGGCAGAAGACTCCTAGAGAACCCTGCATGCCAGCCATAACCTTCATGGAAATACCACTGTGCCCTCACAGTCAGTGGTGCAGTAACTCCCAGTAAGTTCCCAGAGATTTACAGGGTGTGTGCTGCAAGAGTGAGCTCCTGCACCAGGCCTCCTCACCAGCCCTCTGAGACATAGCATCCTGGGATCTGGCTCCAAGATCCCACAGTGAGTGCAAGCCAGGAGGCATCCTGTTCCTCACCACCACCCCAGACCCAAGAACCATGCTGCTAGCCTGACCCAGAGCCACCTGCACCTGCTCCACCCCCAGCATGAGGACCTGCTGTTGAGGCTACCCGGAGCAACCCAGAACACACCACAGGGGAACTCTGACTGTACAACCCAGAACAACCCATGCCCACTCCACCAAAGCACCTGGGACAGTCCTGCCAGGGCCATTCAGAACAACCCAATGCTCACCTCACTCCGGATGACAGGGGAGCACGATTTGAGTGACACAGGGCAACCAACAGAGGCTCTATGCTGAGGAGGGGTGAATTGAAGCAACTAGCACAGGTCTCACACCATGCTACAAGAAAGCCAGGACTGTGTGACCCAGAGCAACATGCACCTGCTTCTCCCTGGACCAGGGAGAGTCCTGTAGGGGCTACCCAAAGAAATCTAGCACA